AGTCCCCCCACCCCCAGGGAAAGGGCAGAAGGACTTCTGAGCACAGGAAGAAAGACAAGACAGGTCCTAGAGAGAGCATGTGAAACCCTAATCTCCCTATGTCCCGGCGGTGGGTGCACACCTTTCAATCGCAGCACTTGGGAGGAAGAGGCAGGTGGGTGTATTTCTGTGTTCGAGACCAGCCTGGTCTACAGAGAGGGTCTCAGGACAGCCGAGACTGCACAGAGAAACCTCGTCTCAAGACCAAACAAAACAGAAAATAATGGTAATGATGATTAATTTATGTATTATTGTTTCTGTGTGATAAAGGATGGTTGGTTTTCTCTGTCCACTTTTGTGTGGATTCTGGAGATCGGGCTCAAGTCTACCTGCCAGTTTTTGTTTGCTTTGGGGTGGTTTATTTGTTTGCTTGGGACTGGATTTCATTATGTAACTGTGGCTGCTAGCCTCAAATTCATTATCCTGTCTCAGACTTTGTGGTACTAGAAATACATGTGTGGGCCACTATGCTTGCCCAGAGAGGCGGTGAGCGGTCGGACTTTGCAGCCATGACTCCTAGGACAGGCAGCTTAAGTTCAGTTCTGTCATAACTATGGGATCTTATTTCTCCTCTGTCTCAATTTCTCCATCTGTACAATGGGAAGAGAGTTAAGTAAGTACTACACAAGCATGAAGTCCTGAATTTGCATCCCTAACACCCATATAAAGCCTGGGCCTGACGGAAATGGATGGGTCTCTGAGCACAGTGGCCAGCCAGTTCAACGGATGTGATCATGTTCAATTTAGTGAAAGATGCTATCTCAGAAAATAGGGATGTCAGCACTTTAAATCCCAGCACTCGGGAGACAGAGGCAGGAGAATCTATTCGTTTGAAGCCAGCCTGGTCTGTGTAGTGAGTCCCATGGCGGTTATGTAGCGAGACCCTATCTCACAGAACAGCTTTTCTCGTGGGAGAAGGCAAGCCACCTGGGCCCTGGTCTCCTGCTTCTTGCTTCCCTCTCACCTTGCTGCTGTTTGTGCCCCTTTAGGGACAGGTCCTGTACCATCATCAATGTGGAAGGTGACGCCTTCGGGGCCGGACTGCTTCAAAGTTATGTGGATCGAACCAAGACGCCGAGCTCGGAGCCTGAACTGATCCAGGTGAAGAACGAAACGTCTCTGAATCCACTGCCCCTGGCCCCAGAGGAGGGGAACCCCCTTCTCAAGCAGTCCCGAGGTCCCGCCGGGGCCGCTGCCGCGTGTGAAAAGGAGTCTGTCATGTGAATAGCAGGAGGGGCTTTCTGTGCCCTGGTGGCGTCTCATTGGAAGTGGATATCATGAGGGCTGGAGAAACTCCAGGGGAGGAGTTTACACAGACCGGGAAACTAGGGGTCCCTGTCTCCTTCCTGGAACGGATATCCGGGGGCCTCATTGCTGGGGTACAGTGCTTATATATGATTGTCTCCACATACCTTCCCCCATCCTGGCTCCCACTCAAGGAGACGACATTCTCTGTCACCCAGAGCCATCCAGCCTACCTGTCTGTCTACCCACTAGAGATCTCTTTCCTTTGAAGACAAGTGATTTGATGCTACCTGATGGCCAAAGCTGTGTGTGTGTGTGTGTGTGTGTTTGGTGTGTGGTGTGTGGTGTGTGTGCTCATGCCATGCACACTGTGACCTTCCCAGTAGTCCCTTTATGACAACAAACACTCCCCAACAAAGTCCCAAGGGAAAGCTAAAGATGAATATTGTCACTCCAGATCACATTTTTTAAAGCAATAAAATGGCATCAAATGTATGAAATGAAGAGTACCAAGAATCTAATATCAGCGTGCTGGCACATGTTTTGGTTTCTTTGTTTGTTTTTCTGTGTAACAGTCCTGCCTGTCCTGGAACTCACTTGCTGGCACACATCTTTAATTTCAGCATTTGGGAATCTGGTTTGAGGACCATACCTGGGACAGGACACAGGAAGAAGAATCAGGCCGGCCTGGGCTCTGACACTGTCTCAGATGTTTTTAGCTAGGCATAGGTGACACACACCTTAAATCCTAGCAACCCAGAGGGCAGAGGCAGACAGGTCTCTCTGCCAGCCTGTTCTACAGAGTGAGTTTCAGGCCATCCGGTGCTCCGTAGTGAGATACTGTGTTCAAAGGAATACATATATACATTTTAATATTTTGACTAATTGGGCTGGAGAGATGGCTCAGTGGTTAAAAGCACTGACTGCTCTTCTAGAGGGACCCGGGTTCAATTCCCAGCACCCACATGGCAGCTCACAACCATCTATCAGTCCAGTTCCAAGGAATCCGATGCCCTTATAGACATACAGGGAAAACACCAATGTACATAAGAAAGTAAAAGGCATGCTTTGGCTAAACACACTAAGCATATCAATGCCAAAGACTAGTTTAGGCTTCACTAACTCTTCAGAGATCACTGAGCTGGTAAGATGGCTTAGGGGTTCAGGAACCTGTTGCAAAGACAGATGACCTGAGTTCCATACCTGGGGTCCACCTGGTGGAAAGACAACTGATTCTTGCAAGCTGCACACCACCCAAATGTGTGAATAAAAAGCACAATGTAAAATGCCTAATGCCGGGCGTTGGTGGTGCACGCCTTTAATCCCAGCACTCGGGAGGCAGAGGCAGGTGGATCTCTGTGAGTTCGAGACCACCCTGGTCTACACCCCCCAGCCACTAGAATCCTCCAGTCCCAGGAATTTTTTTTAATGGTTTTTGAGACAAGGTCTCACTATGTACCCCTGACTGACTTTGAGCTCACAGAGATCCACCAGCCTGTCTCCTGAATGATGGAATTAAAAACAAGAACCACTACACCCGGCTATACTTAAAAGTTTACTGTTAAAAATAATCACTGAGGGCTGGAGAGATGGTTCAGAGGATAAGAGCTCTGACTGTTCTTCCAGAGGTCCTGAGTTCAATTCCCAGCAACCACATGGTGGCTCACCACTGCCTCGAATGAGATCTGGAGCCCCCTGCTGGCCTGCAGGCATACATGGAGGCAGAATGTTGTATACATAATAAATAAATAAATAAAATCTTAAAAAAAAATCATTGATCCTGGCTTGGTGACATCTGAACTAGGGCCTTTTGGATAAAATGAATAATGTATTATCTTTGGGAAAATTAATGAACCTGTGGTTGTAAGAATTAGTTCATTTTGTTCTCTCTGTGTTCTACTTACAAATCCTGTACTGGGGTTGCGCATGGCTCAGTGGTGGTAGAGCCCCTGCCTAGAATCCCCCAGTGAGGGGCTGGGGGTGTGGCTCAGTGGTAGAGCCCTTCTAACAAACACAAGGTTGTTGGCATTGGGGGTGTGGGTCTTGCACAACTTTCTAGAAAGTTCATTTACCACTGCCTACTCTCACTATCCAAAGATTTCCCATATAATAATTTGCTCTTTTAGGGTTCTTCTTTTAATTTTTCTTTTAAATTTTATTTATTATGTATACAGTGTTCTGTCTGCACGTATCCCTTCAAGCCAGAAAGAGGGCACCAGATCTCATAACGGATGGTTGTGAGCCACCATGTGATTGCTGGGGATTGAACTCAGGTCCTCTGGAAGAGCAGCCAATGCTCTTAATCACTGAGCCATCTCTCCAGCCCTTATTTTTATTTTCTTGAGGAGGGGTAGCTTTGTTTATCTTATTTTATTTTATTTTTGAAAGGGGAGAGAAGGTGGCTATGTAGCCCAGGTTGGTTTTGAACTTCCCATCATTCTGCCTCAGCCTGTTGAGTGCTATGGTTATAGATGTTCTCTACTTTGCTTGGCTCAATGGGCTTCCTTCCTTCCTTCCTTCCTTCCTTATTTTTTTCCTGGATATGATTCCATTTTACCCAAGCTTGCCTGGCACTATAGCTGAGACTGACCTTGAATCTCTAGTCCTCCTGTTTCCACCTTCTGAGTGGTAGGATTACAGCCATGTGACACTGTGCCCAGCTGTATGTGGCACTGGGGACCAGCCGAGGGTATCGTGTATTCTAGGCAACCCCTCCACCAACTGGGCTGCCACCCCAGCCCTTCATACCTCATACTCAGGCTACCACACGCCACGTTTTCCTGATGTCAAAAGAACTTCACACCTGGTTCCTGTCACCTCCCACAGCGGCCACTACCGTGCTCCACCGGACGCATCACCCATCTGAAATTGAGCAGACTCCCCTAACTCTGGGCTCTCCTGGTTGAACTATTCCCCGTATGTCCACAAGAGGGCATCAGTTCCCACTTCTGGGCGCTCCCACTCTCTGTTTGGAGGTGTCCCACACAGTGGGGCCTCCGCAGCCTTGGCCTTCTGTAGCCAATTCCACCCACCCCCCTCACTCCAGCCACACTGGTCTCTCTTTCTGTTCGTTTGGTTTTGGCTTTTTGAGACAAGGTTTCACTCCATAAATAAATTTATTTTAGACTATTACTTATTCTTTGGCAATTTCTTTTTGGTTTTTCGAGACAGGGTTTCTCTGTGTAGCTTTGGGGCCTGTCCTGGCACTTGCTCTGGAGACCAGGCTGGCCTCGAACTCACAGAGATCCGCCTGCCTCTGCCTACCGAGTGCTAGGATTATAGGCGTGCGCCACCAACGCCAGGCTTGTTTGTTTGTTTTTCAAGACAGGGTTTCTCTGTGCAGCCCTGGCTGACCTGGAATTTGCTCTGTAGACCAGGCTGGCCTACAGATGATCTGAATTCAATCCCCAGGACCCACACAATGTGGGTGTGGTGAATCTGAGTTTGAGATCAGCCTGGTCTACAAAGTGAGTTGCAGGAACAGCCAAAGCAGTTATATAGAGAAGCCCTGTCTCGAAAAAAACAAAAAACAAAAAAAAGTGTGTGTATATACGCAATGTATATTTATGAATGTGTCAGTTTTCACCCTCCACTATGTGGGATCTGGGGGTTGAACTCAGGTCTCAGGCTTGGTGGCAAGCACCCTCCCTGACCCCATCTTGCCAGGCTGGCTCTTGCCCCAGAGACCTCTCTCTGGCTGTTGCTTCCCCTGGACACCTTTGACCCAGATCTCTGCTTGGATCTTTCTTCATCTCTCAAATGTCACCTCAGCAAGGTCTTCTCTGAGGATATTTAACCCACACCCCACTTACCCACCCAGCACCTACTCTAGTGATTTAGTTTTTGTTTTAATTCTTTTTACACTTTTATTGGTTTTGTGCCGGGCGGTGGTGGCGCACCCCTTTCATCTCAGCACCTGTGAGTCCGAGGCAGGCAGATCTCTGTGAGTTCGAGACCAGCCTGGTCTACAAGAGCTAGTTCCAGGACAGCCTCCAAGGCCACAGAGAAACCCTGTCTCAAACCCCCGCCCCTCAAAAAAGTATTGACTTTTGTGCATGTGGAGGCCAATACTCTTCCGAGTCCTGTTTGGTTTTAATTTTTTTTTTTGATGTATTTATTTATTATGAATACAACATTCTGCCTCCATATATGCCTGTGCGCCAGAAGAGGGCACCCGATCTCATAACGGATGGTTGTGAGCCACCATGTGGTTGCTGGGAATTGAACTCAGGACCTCTGGAAGAACAGCCAGTGCTCTTAACCTCTGAGCCATCTCTCCAGCCCTGGTTTTAATTTTTGAAACAGGGTCTTGCTTTGTAGCCTCGACTGAGAACTCAACGTGCAGCCCTGGCTGGCCTGGAATTTTTTATGTAGCCAAGGTTGCCCTTGAGCTACTGTTTCTGCCTCTACCTCTGTAAGTGCTGGGGGGTTGAACCTAAGGCCTTCTGTATGCTAAGCATTTGTAACATATAAATTATATGTGAAATGTAAATTACAACCCCAGGGGTGTTGTCTGACACTAGGTACCCACTCACCTGGCAGCTCCAAATGCGCTGGGAGATGTTCTAGAGGCCAATTGCCAAGTGCCGTAGGCCACAAGATTTTCTGATGTGATGGGCACGCCCTGGCCGAGTTTCTAATGAAAGCCGACACAAGCTTCCCTCGTTTTACACAGGTGTCGCACTTCCTGGAAAATCCAGAGGCGGGCGGTTAGAGCCTCACAGAGGACCTTGTGTTTACAATAGAGACTTCCGGGTGGGGTGTAGATCAATAGTATATTTGCCTGCAAGGAAGGCTGACATTTAGTTGGTTCGATCTGGATGTATAGATTATGAAAATGTAGAAACAATTTTTCTTCTGGCTGGTAATTAATTGGCAAAGTAGTAATTTTACATATTCTTTTATTAACTTACTGGGGAAGGGCATCATGCATGCTTTGTCACCATGTGGGACCTGGGGATCAACTCAGGCTGTCAGGCTTGGCAGCAAGTGTGTTCACCTGCTGAGCCTTCTTGCTGGCATCATCACAATTACTGTGTGGGAGATGGTAATTTTTTTTTTTCTCTGTTGCGACCTCAGGATGTCCCTAATAGTTTCTTTACTTAGGTGAGTGTGGTGACATACTCCCAGCACTCGGGAGGCAGAGGCAGGGGACTGTGCTGCAGAGAGAGTTCCAAGACAGCCAGGGCTACACAGAGAAACTCTGTCTCAACACACACACACACACACACACACACAAACCCCAGCTCCATGACTAAATGCAATTTGGGGAGAAAGGGGTTTATTCATCTTAAAACTCTCAGGTCATAGTCCAGCACTAAAGGAAGTCAGGGCAGGGACCAAGAGGCAGGAACCAAAGCAGAGACCATGGGGGAGTGTTGCTTTAGTGGCTTCCTCTCTATGACTTTCTCAACCTGGTTTCTTTCTTTTTTAATTTTTATTTATTAATTTTGGTTTTTCAAGACAGGGTTTCTTTTTCTGTGTAGCTCTGACTGTCCTGGAACTCACCCTGTAAACTAGG